AGAGGTGGGCCACAGGCCGCTGCCATGGACCCACTGTTTGGGTGAGGACTCCCAGGATTTGTCGGCGTTCTTCCACGGTGGAGAGCGTCAGGAGACTCCAGTGGCAATCATCCCACGTGGGCTGGTGGGTCTGGAACAGGGATTCCAATAGGACAACCTCTTTCATGAACGAAGAGGTTGACTGGGCCGCGTTACACCTGGCAGTCCCGATGCAGGGGTGCTCGCCAGCAGTTTCTTTATTTCCTGGAAGGCCTTTTCTTGGTCCTGCCCCCCAGTTTAGAGAGTCCTTGCCTGGTCCCGCTGTGTCCTCACAGAGGGGCTTTGCCAGAGCTGAGAATCCAGGGATCCAGATGTGGCAGAACCCTGCTGCTTCCAGGGATTCTCAGACTTCCTTTTTGGTCTTAGGCTGTGGGATAGAACAGATAGTCTGCTTTCTCTCTGGGCCTAGGGCACGTCTGTCACCCCTTGGAGATGACAAACCCGAGGTAGCAGACTTCTTGCTGGCAGATTTGAATTCCCTTCCAGGAAACTTTGTAGCCGGGTTCAGAGAGTCAGGTCAGTAATGCCCTCGTCCCTTCCCAGGATTTCTCTTGGCTGGAGCTTGCCAAGAGCCAGTCATCCCCGTATTGGAGCAGGGTGCAGTGTGGATTTTCTGTCGGGAAGGTGGATAGGTCCGCTGCCAGGGCTTCTCCAAATATCATGGGTGAGTTCTTGAACACCTGTGGCAGTCTGGTCCAAGTCATCTGTGTCTTCCCCCCGGTGTGGGGGTCCTCCTGTTTGAAGGCAAACAGCAAATGGCTAGCTGGAGCCACGGGGAGGCAGAAGAAAGCATCCTTTAAGTCCAAACAGGTAAACCAGCTTGCTTCTGGTGGCAGGAGGCTTAGGAGAGTCTAGGGGTTGGGAACCACTGGGTATAGTGTGACCACGGTATCGCTGACTGACCGCAAGTCCTAGATAGGACAGTAGCCACTTTCTCCTGTTTTCTTGACTGCTAACAGTGGGGTGTTCCACAGCGACTGGCATTTGATCAGTATTCCTGAATCCTTTAGTCATTGTAAGTGGGCCTAAATCCCTAGTTGTGCCTCCTGGGGCCCTGGATATTGTCTCTGTCAAACTGGGAGGGCCAGGGCCCCTGGTTTGAGACCCACCACTATTGGCGCATGCTTAAGGGCCAGGCTGGGAGGTCCTTCTTTAGCCCAGACATCAGGGAACTTGTTCAACAGCCTGGTCGGCTTCGTGGGGTCTCTTTTTCTTGGCAGTAAAATCGCCATTCATTTTCCGCAGGAACAGTTACTGACACGATGAGGGAATTTGGCCTTCCCAAGGTGAGGCTTGTAGGCCCCCCTGGGGTGAAGGTAATTTGGGTCCCATGTTTCATCAGTAAGTCTCTACTAGGAAGGGAATGGGGCACTCTGGTAGGTACAGGAATTCATGAGTCACTGTGTGGCCTCCCCCCCCAATTGGCATGTTCAGGGTCTGCAAAACTGGTGGGCAGTTTGAGAACCAGTCACCCTGACAAGTGTGGCCTTACAGCCTGTGAGTGGGGCCATGGGTGTGGTGACCACTGAATGCTCAGCGCCTGTGTCTACCATGAAAGTCAACAGCTGGCCTCCCACTTTCATTTTGACCACAGGCTCTTGGGGACCTAATCAAAGGGAGCCCGGTCTTGCCTAGTCTGACTCAATCCCAGCCAGACCCATAAGGTCTTGCATTTCGGGGTCAGGCTGCCATTTTGTTTTCCTTTTTTCTGAAGTAATTTTGTTGCCCTTGTGTTGGTTCCTGAAAGTGGGGACATTCATTTTCCCAGCGGCCACACTCCTTACAATAGGGCACATTGATCTCATCGGAGTGGGCCCCTCCTATTGGGTACCCCCTTTTGCGGTGGGGCTGACTGTCCAGTTGGGTCCGGTTTTCCCAGTGCTGCGGCCAGCAACGATACCTTGGTTTTCATTCTTTTATCTGCTTCTTGTTTGGCCTCACAGTCTCGATTTGCAAAGACCTTATTCACCACTTCTATTAGCTGGGTAGTATTCATGCCAGCGAAGCCTTCAAGTTTCTGGAGTTTCTGGGAAGTATCGGTGTATGATTGAGTCACGAATGCTAAGTTGACCATTCATTGGTTTTTTTGGGGCCTCTGGATCAAATGGGGTGTATACTTGGAAGGCCTCGCATAGCCTCTCATAGAAGTCAGTCGGTGATTCTTCTGATTTCTGAATAACTGCCACAGTTTTGGTCATGTTGGTTGGCTTCTTTGCCCCTGCTCTGAGTCCTCGTAGAAAAGCTGTACAGTATCGACTTAGGGTGGCTAGTCCCTTGGCCATACGGAAATCCCAGCCAGGCCGAGTGTCGGGTGCTGCCTCTAGCGCCCATGATTCTGCATTTAGGGTTCCATATGGGAGCCGGCCTTGGAGCCAACGATATGTCTCGGTGAGGATTTGTCGGCGTTCTTCCGTGTTGAAGAGCATCAGGAGAATCCGGCGGCAATCATCCCACATGGGTTGGTGGGTCTGGAACAGGGACTCCAGGAGGTCAGTCATGGCCTGAGGCTTCTCTGAAGATAGATGAGAATAGAGTGTCTGGGCTGGATGGTGCCATCAGCGTTTCTCCGTTGTGGCCGTTGCATCTCACGGAGCGGCATCTGGAGAGCCGCGGGTTGGGGGAACCGGAGCCTGAGACAAGCGTAGATGTCATCAGCTCATGGGCTGGGGGCTGGGGCTCCAGGACGGGGGCGGGCTCGGAATTCCCTCTGGGCTTGGCGGTTGTTTAGGAGGCTGAGGTGGGCTCACTGAAGGCGGTGGGCTATCCAGAAGGTGGGGGCATCAGCTGTCCCAGTGGTGGTGCACTCGGGGCATATGGCGGGGGGGGCACGAATGGATTGTCCTCAGCGTCTGGGTCTCCCTGATAAGCAGGCTTTGCTTTCTTAAGCCCTTGGGCTCTTTTACTTGGGTTACAAATATCCTGCTTTGGCCCTTCCCATTAGTGTGGAATCAGACACACGGCGGCAGAGTTTGGGCTATCTGAAGCCAAGAATCAATATATGGGACTTGGTCAGGGTGTCTGGGAGTCCTGACCACAACTCTGTAAGTGGCCTGGACGGTGGGTAGGTCTAGGGTACCCTCAGAGGGCCAGCCGACCCCAAAGGTGGGCCATTCCAGTTCACATAATGTGCATAATTTTCCAGGATACACTTTGATCCCATAGTCTCCTGAGAATTCCTTCTTAAAATTTTTGAGCATACAGTCTGGGACTGTAGGTTTTGAAGAGCTTCTGCCCGTGATGAACAGAGGCTCTCTTGGCCACCCTGTGTGTTCCCTCCCTGGCTTGGTGGCGCAAAGACAAACAAAGGGTGAGTGTCCCTCCAAAGGAGAGACCAGATGCCTGCCTGTCCGCTCTCCCAGAGGAGACGTGGGTGCCTCTTAGCCATAGCGAGTCCATATAAGCCCCAGACTGGTGCCCTGAAAGGGTTCGCCCTAGACGCTATGAGGTCACCATGGAAACAGATTGGGGCCCACTCAGACTCTGTAGTCTCAAGACTGTGGAGCCACAAACTCAAACAGGCCGTTCATTCACTCACGCATTCACACCAAAGTTATTACAGGACCTCCCCCGCGGCCCCCCACCCCCCATCCTGGGAGGTCCCTGTCCTGTGTAATTCCTTTTGAAAATTCCTAGGAGGTGATCAAGCTCCCCTTCCGCTTGGTGGAGCAGGACCTAACTACGGATTATCTTCCTAGGAGGCTTACCGGGTCCGGACGAGCTTGCCAGGCAAGGTGGTCCACTTCTCCTTGGAGTCCGGCTGGGGCAAGACTGCCTGGGGTGAAGGAGGAACCGGAATACTGTTGGGTGGCCCCCTGCCTCGTTCAGTCCCGAGTCCCTTCCTGCTCCGGTGCAGCCCGGCCACCGACCTGTGACTCAAGGGGCCAGAATGGTTGGAATCTCGCTGGGGCCTCCAGAAATGCTGCAGAAAATAATCAGACTGGTGAGAAACCAAGCGACACTCGGAGAAGCCGGAGAACTCGGGTTTTACGCCGGCAGACCCAGACGAGCTCACACTCAAAATTCTGGGCCCTGGGCAGTGGGGTTACAGGGTTTTTATAGGGGAGTGCAGGGGGTCAGGTTCCAAGGGCTATGCTGACTGCTGGTAGGTGGGCTTAAACTGAGGGGAGGCAGGGGGTTGCTTTAGGTGGGAACGATGGTTAGGGCAGTGCAGGGGGTTTGTGGCAGGAAGCCTGTTTACAGAAGCAGAAACAGCTGGTTATCTCTTGCTTCCAGGGGGGCTTCTAGTTATCTCTTGCTCTTTTTAGCAACTTTTCATCTACTGGGGCCTGCCGGCCTGGGCCTGCTCTGGGTAATTTTTCTCTTCACTATGGTTCTCATCCCAGCAGTGTCCTGTGAGTGGCAAATGGGACAGACTCCTTATGCAAGGACCCCACCTTCAGACTGTTCCAGCCAGTTCCCCCTTGTCAGGGATGGCAGGGGGATTTCGTAACACGTTGCCTTGGGAAGCCGGAAGTGGGTATATTTTTCTCTTTTCCCAGAGCCCCAGGCTATGCACTGGCTGCAGGCAGCCTGGGTGTGCTTGGGTATTCCTCCCCGAAAGTCACATTCCTTCCAAGATATTTACAGTGGCAGAGATAATGGGTTATTGATGAACCAATCAGCTGGGACGGCCCCTGGTGAATTAGCTGTTGGCCACTGGCCGGCCTGGGGTAAGGGACGATGCTGGGCTCAGCAGCAGCTGGGGAAAGGTCTAAATCATGCCCGTCATCGCCAGTGACACCAGTAATCACCGCTGAAGGTCCTACCACAGCCAATTCCTCATACAGGGGAAGCAACTTACTTAATTTGTAGTTAATTGAAGGCTGGGAGCTTTGGAATCAGCCAGATGAGAGTTTGAACTCCTCCTTCCTGCTCCCCTTCCCGGCTGTGGAACAAATGCAAGTTATTCGACGTTTCGGGGGGGGGGGCAGCTTCCTCACCTCAGAAATGAGAGTCCTGTGCCCGACTTTTTGGCATTGCTCTAAACAGGGCAGGAACCGGTGACTGTTGAGCCCTTCACGGCTTACAAACCGCTTCCACATTCATCATCCTGCGTCATTCCCCCAACAATCCGAGGAGGTGTGTAGCATTGGTTCATTTTCATACACAAATACACAAGGTTCAGAGGGTTTGAGTATCTTCCCCAAGAAGCAACCCTTCTCTCGCTCCCACTATAGACACGTTTTATAGCTGGGGAAACAAATATTCAAGAAGGCACATGATTTGCCCGAGGTCATGTGAGCAATAATCGGTCAGCTTAGTAGCTTTCTATAGTACTTAGAATAAAATCCAAAGTATGTATATTGGCCTTCAAGGAACTGAATGAACTAACTGGTTTCCCTCCATCTGTCCCTCTAGTTGTGGAAGGTTGAAAGAATGCCCCCAATGCTCCGCCCGACCTGGTATTCAGGCCCCTTACCGTAAACTTGCATAGTATCCTCTCGCTCCGGCTCTGAGCTTGGCCACATGACTTGCTTTGGCTAAGAAAACGGTGGTGAGAGAGTTCTGAGCCCACCCTTCAAAGGGCATTGCATGCTTTCATGCATGCTTGTGCCTTTGCTGTTGCCGTGAGAACCTGTCTGGGCTGCTGGAAAATGAGAGACACGTGAAGCTGATCTTGATACAGGACCCTGACCCCTGATACACGAGCCACAGACATATTGTTACATCCCACCAGAGTCTGCGGTGGTTCGTTACGAGGCATCGTCTTGCCAAAGATGACTGAGCGCTAACCCCATCTTGTGATGCTCTGTCCTTCAGCGCGCTACATCCACACGGGCTTTCTTTCAGTCTCTCAAACAAGCTGGGCTCGCTCGCTCTCTCTCTCTCCCCCTCTCTGCCCCCTCTCCTAGGTCCCCTTGGGAATGCCTGGGATGCTCCCCTCCCCCACTGCTTCTGCACAGCCCTTCGTTCGCTTCCTGCAGAGCTCAGCTTAAATCTTCCCTCCTTAGAACTAACCTTACCGTTTGGTCTGAATCATGTCTTTCTACATATTCTCTGTTACAGTTCCCTGTTCTTTTTCCATGGTAGCCTTTTTTACAGTTTATAATCAGGCAATATATATATATTTTTTAGCTTAATGAGGTCTGTGATGGATGACTGGACTGGTGGCTGATGTTTTACTCTCCACTCTATTCTGAGCACTTTACACAGTGCCTGGTTCAGAGCACATTCTCAGTACATGATTGGCGAATAAATGGATACCTGAGCAAATGAACTGGCAGAACGGGGATTTCAACTCTTCACTCTTCCCTCTCTTCTTTCCCTGCGACAATCGTGGTGTTATCGGAGGTTCAGAGCTTATCTTTTTTGAAGAACCCTGCCTAAAATGCACAGTTCCCTGATAGTGTTTAGTCAGGTTAGCGAGCATCTTTTTATCAGTTTACACTCAAGTGAGCAACTTACTACTTTAAGGGATTAGCTGACAGTGAGCTGAGAGAAGACATGGAAAACAACTCGGGGTCGGTCAGAATATAGGGAAATGAAAGCTTCAGGGGAAAACCAGGGGAATCTGAGACTGGGGCAGGAGCATTTCTTGGGATTGGCCATTTCCCCATTCTACATGGGGGACAATTTCTGGTTCCCGTTGCTAGCTAGCTATTGTTGGAGCAACTGGCTGACATGTTGAGGTCTCCAGATTTACTCTGGAGGAGAGACACCTGGGGGGTAGTGATTTCTATCCTTACGCAGACACACATTTCAACCTGGGCCACTGGTCACGACCCTTTAGGACCCAGAGCTTGACAGATGTGGGATCTTGCTGCCCCAGGTGCCTGGTCAGAGTCTCTGCTCTGGACTGGTATAAAGAAGATCCAAACAAAGCCTTAGGGACTCTGCCGTTTTGAGTTTTATTGCATGACAAAGGGACAGAGACCAGGAAGGTGGATGCTTAGCACTGAGAGTCCTAGTACTTTGGGGAGAGATCAAATACAGAGAATGCAACAAAGAGAAAATTTGCCTGTCTGTAGCAGAGCCAGGGGAACACCTAAGAAAAATAGACTATTTGGCGGTCCCTGAATTTAGATGCTTCCAGAAAACTGGCAGAAGTGGAGAAAGAGAATGAAACAAATCACAGAAAAGAAAGATTCTACTCAATGCTTTGGTTCTGTGGAACACTGCTTCAAATGACCAGAAATTTCCAGTGGAGAGTGTCAGATTGAGCTGAGATAACCCGATAGCAACGATTTTCTAAAGTTATGTTCTCGAAAGCAGTTTTCTAGAACATATCAACAAGAATTCTAGGGAGGAAAAAAAGTTCTGTGTAGAAATAAATTATGAAAACATCACATACTTTATGGCGTGTGACATGCATATTTGCATATTAAAGGCTCTGAAAAGTCATGGAAAACAAAACATTTAATATTTTTTCATCTAAATTGTCCTATCATATTTCACTAAGGAAGAAACTTTCTCCCACTTCTTTCCCTTCCTTTCTAATTTTGTTCAATGCCAGTTAACATTCTTGCAAATCACAATTTGTGAAATACCGACCTTGAGAAATTTTTTTTTCCTGATGTTCCATTTTGTGCTCACGGTTAACATAATACAAACAAAAGGAAGCAGAATGATTATTCATTGAGCCCCACCTGTGTGTCATTGTACCAAGCACTTTTTTGTATATCTGAACTCATAATAGTTTCAAAACCACAGTAAAGTAAGGGATAGTGTCAATTTTTCAGATAAGGAAACAGGCTCAGAGAGGTTGAGGTGTTTGTCCAGTTAGTAAAACGAACGTGTCGGTTTCAAACCGAGATAGTCTACGCTTGAGTCTGCACTTTTAGCCAGCAGACTATCATAATCTGGGAACTAAAAAGTAGTCTTCCACCCCCCCAGCTGACCAGAAAACCTATATATTCTGTTTTTTAAAAAATTTGTGATCATACCTTTTATTTCAACGGAGACATGCTGACCAAGGGATCTCAACGTTTCTAGAGCAGACGCAAGTCAAACTGTCAGCCGGTAGCATCAGAAGAGAGACACTGAGTCCACTTGCAAGCTTGGTGGGCTGAGAAGTTTGTGGCCAAATCATTTCCATCTCCTCTGTGATGTATGGATGAATGTGGTCAATAATTATGTCCTGGGGTTACGTGGCAGGTAAAATTGTATCTATTTAGCAGTTAGTTTTACTTTTCTAAGAAGAAAGTCTGCAGCCTGATGAGCTTTTTATGCAGAATGAACAGATCTGTCCTTGACTGCCTTACAGATACTGTATGTCCCACCACCCTCCCGACGTCTTCGCACAATGAAGGGTTGGCTCTGGCCCTCTGCCATAAGTCCTGCCAAACACCGTTCACTCGTCACTGTCCTGTTCACAAAAAGAACAAATCTCCCTTGGCTCCTCTCACCTCATGTCTGCCTTAGTTCTTGTTCCCCATCCTGTTTATACGCTATAGCAGAGTAGACAATGCAAGGATTTGGAACCAGACAGAATTGGTTTCCACTCATCTTTTTGGAGCTTTTGTTTCCTCTGCTAAGCACTTTTTAAAAAAAAATTTGAGAGAGAGAGAGTCCGAGCAGGGGGGAGGAGGAGAGGGAGAAGGAGAAGCAAACTCCCTGCTGAGCAGGGAGCCCAACGTGGGGCTCTATCCCAGGACCCATGAGATCATGACCTGAGCTGAAGGCGGCCACTTAACCAACTGAGCCACCCATGCGCCCCCTAAGCACTTTTTTTCGGTATTACTTCACCTTATTTCCCAACAACCCTGTACTGAAGATTCTATTGTGACCCCCCACGTCCCCCCGCCCAAGACTGGGTGTTAGGGTAGTTAAGTAAGGTGACCATCCAGGTCATCCTACTTGAATGGCTCATGCTACAGACAGTGGTGGTGTATTAGCTATCCACCTCTAACAAACTACCTGATAATGCAGCCACTTCGAAGAGCAGCATTAAGTATTTCACAGTTTTTCTGGGTCCTGAATCCATAGGATTAGCTGGGGTCCTTGTCTTAGGGTCTCTTAAAAACTGTCATCTGGCTGCAGCTCATGCTTCTACTTCCAAGTTCACTGATGGGCTTATTGGCAATTCAGTTCCTTATAGGAGGTTGGACTAAACTCTCACTTCCTCAAGAGCTGTTGGTCAGAGGTCTGCTCAGTTCCTGGCTATGTGGCTCACTCCACAGAGAATCTTAAAACATGGCAGCTTCATCAGAGTGAGCAAGAGACAGCGCAGAAGAGAGAGTACTAGCAAGGTAGAAGTCACAGTCTTTTGCAACCTCATCATGGAAGTGACATCATCTTTGCTGAATTCTACTTATTAGAAGCAAATCACTAGATCCAGTCTGCATTCAAGGGCAAGGGATTACACAAGATGGTGAATATGGGAGGTGGGGAACCCTGGGGCCATGTCAGGAGCTGCCTCTGCAAGAGGTTAAGAGCCTGTGCCTTCAAGTATGGTTTTTCCAGCACCACCACTTATGGGCTCCATAACCACAGGAAAGCTACACCCCTTCTATTTTCTCATCCATCATGTATGTATAATAACAGTACCTACTTCATACAGTCGTTGTTAGGATTAAATAAGTAAAGAGAGGCTAAGTACCTGACACTAGTTCTGGTTGTCTTCTCCAAACCACTGTTGACCAAGTGGCTGCAGAATCATCTGGAATCCAACCAATCCCATGTAGCCTCTGGAGGGGTGTCGAGCAGAGGAAAGAGCTAGGATTCTGGAGACTGGTATTCTAACCCTCTTCTTTGCTGTGCCATTTTTGTCATTTTTTTTTTCTCTTCTCAGGGACTTTATCTGTAAAATTAGGGGATAAAGAGATAGTAAAAAGCTTTCATTTTTTTTTTCTCTGCCAATTCTAAATGGTTGGCCATGGATCCCTGGGACTTTGTGTTCAGAAATCTTTCACTGGTGCACAAGGGCCGGCTCCCACAGGCTCAGGAGAGCTGGCTGTCCACAAGTCTTACCAACTCCTTATTGAGTAACTCATACTCAAGTCAACCATGATGGCAGTGCTTACACCACAGATATAGGCAAGTGTTACACACTAGGTCTCTCCCTCCCCCACCTCCATCCCAACAGCAAGTTGTTCAGCATTTGTCATTGCACTGCTCATTGCAAAACTCGTGGGAAAGAGGACCATAAATTACTGCAGTAGCTAGCAAAGACTCCGGAAGTGGATGTGGAAGAATGAGTGACTAATGCATATTTGCCATTTCTGGGTAGTTGATTCCTGTCATCCTCCCTGCACTGACATTCGTGGACTGCCTGCCTTTTCAGGAGGAAGAACTTACTGGGGCAGAGGAAGGGTTGCTAGCGGGGGCTCTGTCTCGAACATAAAAGGCATACGGAAGGCCAGTGTATCAGCTATGGGCCACGTTCCCTCATCTCAAGGCTCTTAAAACTGTTCAAGAAACTAGTAGCAGGCGAATGCTCAGATAGACTCATTAGAAATATTAGGATATTTTCCCCTTTCTCTGAATGGGTGGAATGCAAGTGTGGTAAATAATATGCGTGCTATGAAGTTTGTAATGTGCACAACTGCACACCTGGATCTTCTCAACCGTCAGCGCCATACATGGTAGGTCGGTGTCTTAGGGCACTCCAGAGGACTAGAACCTATATATATATATTTTTTTACATGAGCAACTGGCTCTCACACTTACGGGAGCTGAAAGGTCCCACGATCTACCATCTGCGAGCTGGACACCCAGGAAGTCCAGTGGTGTGACTCCATTAGAGTCCAAAAGCCTGAGAACCAGGGGAGCTGATGGTATAACTCCCAGTCTGCGGGCAGGAGAAGATGAGATGAGATGTCCCAGCTCAGGTGGTGAGGCAGGGAAAAAAAAAAAAAAAGACTGAATTCCTCCTGCCTCTGCCTTTTGTTCTATTCAGGTCCCCAACAGATTGGCTGGTGCCCACCCACACTGGGAGGGCCATCTGCTGTATGGAGCGCACTGATTCAAGGGCTAATCTTGTCTGAAAGCACCTTCACAGGCACGCCCAGAAATTATGTTCGAGCTGGGCACTCTATGGTCCAGGGGAGCTGACACACAAATTTAACTATCACAGTCGGGAAGGGATTATTTCCAGCTCCCCCACCCCCGACCCTGAGAGTTGAAGATCAGAGATGCCTGAGTTATAGAGACTTACCAGTGACCTCATCGTAACAAATGGCCAGGCTGGAGCCAGTACTCAGGTCTTCTTACTCCACCCTTTACTTTTTAGACATTAGGATGAGAAATCTTGGCATATGGTGGAGAACAGGGAGTAGGGACAGACCATCCCGCTTGAACCTTCCTGCAATTCTGATGGTCTCCAAAGCAGTGAGATGTGGCCACACTCATGATGTGTTACCCAGAGAGGAGCTAATGGCATAATCATGGACTCTCCACAGTCAATTACTGCAATTACTGGAAGCCACTCTCTTGTCATATTTCATTTAGCACACCATGGCACAGGAAGGCAAGTGGCACCAAGGGTCCTGGGCCCATTGTCACTGCCCTCGCCGGAGCAGGCATCAAAAAAGGAGAATGCCAACCCCAATAAACGGTTCCTGCAGAAGCCATTAGGCTAGGTGACATGTTCACTTAGGGTGACATATATTGATCATGTAAAACACGCACACTGTATAATATGATTAAACAAACTCAACCAGTTCCAGAGAGAGCCAGCTGAACTGTGTGTGGAGCCTGGCTCTGCGGCAAGAGCCTCGTGGCCCTGGGTGGGGAGGAAGCGCCTAGCTCAGGGAAGGGACTACATACAGCGTGTTTGTCATCGATTATTCACTCGATATTCATTCATTCATTCATTCATTCATTGGTTCACTCAACAGGTATTTACAGAGTGTCCACTATGTGAGGGCACTGTGTTCAGTGCTGGGGGTAGAATGATGAATGAGGTGAACAGTTGCCTCGACTCCAGTGAAGCTTGTAGTCTACTGGGCGACACGGGTGTCAGCAAAGTGATCAGTGTGAGTCCCAAACAGAAGAAAATGCTCTGAGAGAAAAGATCACAGTTCAGTGAGAGCATATCGCGAAGGAATCTGAGCAAGCAAGGGGATCATGGAAGAATTATAATAGTCACCATTATTGCACACCTACTGTCGTGGGTTGAATAGTGTCCCCTCAGATGCACGTCCATCCAGAACCTCAGCCTGTGATCTTACCTGGAGTCGGGTTTTTGCAGATGTAATTAAAGATCTTACGATGACATTGTACTGAAATGAGGGTGGGCCCTCAATGCAATGATTGCAGAGACTGGTGTCCTTATAAGAGGACTGGTGTCCTTACATAGAGAAGAGGGGGAAGGCCACACGAAGAACGGAGCAGAGATCGGAGAGATGCCACCACAAGCCAAGGATGCCTGGGGCCACCAAATCTAGAAGAGGCAAGGAAGTGTTCTTCCTTAGAGCCTTTGGACATGGCCTTCCTTATGCCTTGATTTTGGACAACTGCCCTCCCCCATGCCCCCACACCAAATGGAGAGAAAGTTCTATTGTTCTTAACCCAGTGTGTGGTAGTTGGTTAAGGCTGCTAAGTGACAAAGCGTTAGAAACCTTGCCAGGAGTTATGGAGTCAGCATAACATTAGACAAAGCTCCTGCCTTCAAGGAGCTCAGAGTCTTGTTGGCAGCCTGCCAGTCAATAGATAACCTAAAATCTCTGTTCACCGCTGTGATCAGGATAAGCCCCAGGGTTTTGGGAGCACAGGGAGAGAGCCCTAGCTCAAGCTACAACATCATCAGGACCCAGGGATGAGGCAGACAGCATGACAGTCACTACACCTGTCACCTCACCTGGGCCCTGACTTCTATCCCCAACGAAACTTGTAACATCGGGGTTCATCTCCGTCATTAGTAACTAATGCCCAGCACATAAGAATCTCTGGCTATGTCCTCACTTCCTGAGTGTTTGGGTACTTCATTTCCTATTCACCTCTTTATTTTGCACCCTAGAACTTTCATGCCCCTGGCAAAAAACAAAACAAAACAAAACCAAACCCCAAGCCCCAAAACAACAAC